CTTTGGATTCTTTCATGTGAGGAAGCTATCCAGCTAGCTTACGGAACGTCCGTGGTTGTACTCAGGTGCCCTTTCGTGCCTGAAATAATGCACGGAAGGGCACCTGAGGTCTTCCTCCACCAGTAAAGCTGGAACGTCGCGATATGGCATGTGATGTAAAACCCAAAACAAACAAACAGTAAACTCTGGAAAAGTTTAAAAACATATCAAATGAATGGTTTAGGTTTGTTTCATCATATAATATCCACAATATATGTTATTATAACTTCCAGGGTTTGTTCAAGTCACATGACTAGTTTTAAACATACTCGGTGATTCTGTCTGGGTCTTAATTTCGTTCAACATATATAGATATATTTACACTTTAAACCCAAAATATATAAAATTTAAACAGAAATTCATGCTGGGACTTTAACCATAAGATAATTTTGATATTTTTGTCATTTATTTGCCCGATTATTCCATATTTGGGCTTGTGACCTAGTTTTTGACCCCAAATGACCTATAAGCCATATTCTTACTTGAGCTGGAATTCATTCAAGTTTTGACCCCTAGGGGAATGAATAATATATAACTTTTGTTTTGAGGACCACAAGGTGATGTTCCATGCCACATATCTAAACTCTTGACATTGTACACATGTACTTTCAGAGAAGATGTTCAACATTTTTACTATACAAGTCTATGTAAACTTAGTGATCCCCAGGGTTGGGCCATTTTTTACTCTAGGAGTTTGACTTATATAACTTTTGTCGAGGTCTACTAGCCAATGCTACAATCCAAATATTTAAGCTCTTGACATGTAGTTTCAATAAAGATGACTTAAATGTAGTTTCCTGTACAACTCTTAATAAATTAAGTGATATTTAGGGACTCAAAGACTTAAATGTATTTTCCAAGTATATAAGCCTTTGTAACTAAGTGACCCCTAAGTGGAGCCATTTTTTCACCCCAGGATTTATATACCTTTTGACTGTATAGGACCACAAAGAGTTGCCAAATGCCAAAATCTACAATAATATAAGTTTTTAAAAAAAATATCATTTTTTAGACTTTTTATAGTTCCTGTGACCTATTTATGCATTAGACATGAAATATTTATAAAATTTTGTAGATGGCCACCTAAGGATCATTCAGGCAAAGATTGGTAAAAATCTATCAAGCCATTTAGGAGGTTAAGGAGATGTTAAGAAATTGTGGACAACGACAAACAATTGCTGGACATACTGTCATGGCAAAAGCTAACCTCTGATCACTTTGCGCTCAGGTTATGTAAATAGTACTAAACATATTAAACTTTATTGTTTATTTTAAGGTCCTTTTAAGGATAATTAATAAATCCACTTTATTTCAACTAATTTCAGCAAAAAAAAGTTCACTACTTTCACTTGAGATTCAATAACATGATGCCAGTTTTTACATTATGGAATGTTGTAGTTTTGTTTACATCACTTAATCCATTATGGTCAGAAGATCTCCCTCAAAGAGAGCTATAGTCAGCATAATCCCTGCTCCAGTACACATGCCTACGCCCTGTAGAAGAAGATGACATAATGGATGCTCTCCCTTCTTTGTGTCCACTGACGACAACTCTGGTAACTATAGAAATAAAGGATATTATTAAACCTTTGTGACTTCCTTCAAAGAAACAAAAGGGCCACAATGGCCCTGAAATCGCTCACCTGAATAGAGAAATCTCCATGATAAAGAACAAGCAATATTGTAAACTATAAACAGAAGCAGTTATAAAATCTAAATCTTAAACTGATGTCACAAAGTTCATATTTGTATCTGGAATAGTGCATGTGTAAAAACAATACTGGTTGCCAATTTAGACCCCAGGGGTTTGATTTGAAGAAACTTGGTAGACACTCACTATGTTTCATGCTAAATATCTAACCTCTAGCTATTTCGGTTTTCTAAAACAAGATTGTTTTTGTTTTTTATTATATATATAAATAAGGAAAATCAATGATCCCCCAGGGCTGGGCCAATTTTGACCCTAAGGCTTTTATTTGAACAAACTTTGTAGACACTCACTGGCAGATGTTTCATGCTTAATATCTAAGTTCTAGCTATTTATGTTTTTTAAAAGAATATTTTTTCAGTTTTTATTATATACATATAAGGAAAACCAATGGCCCCCGGGGGTGGGGCCAATTTTGACCCTAAGGCTTTTATTTGAACAAACTTGGTAGACACTCGCTAGAAGATGTTTCATGCTTAATATCTAAGTTCTAGCTATTTGTGTTTTTAAAAAGAATATCTTTTCAGCTTTTATTATATACATATAAGGAAAACCAATGGCCCCCAGGGGAGGGGCCAATTTTGACCCCAAGGCTTTTATTTGAACAAACTTGGTAGACACTTGCTAGAAGATGTTCCATGCCAAATATCTAGTTCAGTTCTTTGGGCGTTTTTTTTTAATTAAGTTTTTTCTTTCGGTTGCCATGGCAACCAGTGTTCTGCATGGAATTCAATTCTTTGAACAATGTTTAAAGGTGACCACCAAAGGAACATTCCTGTGAAGTTTGGATGAAATTGGCTTAGGGGTTTATGAGGAGATGTCTTTTTAAGTAAAAGTTTACAGACTGACGAATTGTGACCACAAAAGCTCACCATGTCACTTTGTGACAGGTGAGCTAAAAATTATAGGAAAATATCTAAATAGCCGTCTTTTCATATATAGCATACTTTTAACACAATAAAACAAGTTCTCCTACATCAAATAACTTTGCAATGACAAGACATATCAATAAAGATGATGGATGCCATGCCTATTCTAAATCTCATCCCAGGTCACATTACCTGGGGCAGACACATTCCCAATGGCAAATATGCTAATTTTTCCCAATTTAAACAAGAGGGCCATGATGGCCCTGAGGTCGCTCACCTGTATATAGCCCCCCCCCCCCCCGGCCCAATTTTTACCCAAGGGCTTTTATTTGTTTATTTGAACAGACTTGGTAGACACCCATAAGAAGATGTTTCATGCAAAACATCTAAGTTCTAGCTCATTGGGTTTTTTAAAAGAAGATTTTTTAAGTTTTTACTATACACATAGAGTAAAAAACAATGACACCCCTCGGGCAGGGCCAGTTTTGACCCCTGGGCTTTTATTTGAACAAACTTTGTAGATATTTACTTAAAGATGTTTCATGCTTAATATCTAAACTCTAGTTATTTGGGTTTTTTCAAAGAAGATTTTTAAGTTTTTGCTATGTATATAAGGAAAATCAATGACCCCCGGGCGGGGCCAGTTTTGACCCCAGGGCTTTTATTTGAACATACTTGGTAGACACCCATTAGAACATGTCTCATGCCTAAATATCTTTAGCTCTAGCTCTTTGGGTTCTTTAAAAGAAGATTTTATAAGTTTTTACTATATGCATATAAGGAAAATCAATGACCCTGGGGAGGGGCCAATTTGGACCCCAGGGGTTTTATTTGAACAAACTTGGTAGACATTCACTAGAAGATGTTTCATGCCAAATATATAAGCTTTAGCTCTTACAGTTCTTTAAAAGAAGATTTTTTAAGTTTTTACTATATGCATATAGGGAAAATCAATGACCCCCTGGGCGGGGCCAATTTTGACCCCAGGGCTTTTATTTGAACAAACTTGGTAGACATTTACTAGAAGATGTTTTATGCCAAATATCTAAGCTCTAGCTCTTACAGTTCTTTAAAAGAAGATTTTTAAGTTTAAACTATATGCATATAGGGGAAAATCAATTACCCCCCAGGGCGGGGCCAATTTTGACCCCAGGGCTTTTATTTGAACAAACTTGGTAGACATTCACTAGAAGATGTTTCATGCCAAATATCTAAGCTCTAGCTCTTTGGGTTCTTTAAAAGAAGATTTTTTAAGTTTTTACTTTATGCATATAGGGAAAATCAATGACCCCCTGGGGCGGGGCCAATTTTGACCCCAGGGCTTTTATTTGAACAAACTTGGTAGACATTCACTAGAAGATGTTTCATGCCAAATATCTAAGCTCTAGCTCTTACAGTTCTTTAAAGGAAGATTTTTTTAAGTGTTTACTATATGCATATAGGGGAAAATCAATGACCCCCCGGGGCGGGCCAATTTTGACCCCAGGGCTTTTATTTGAACAAACTTGGTAGACACTCACTAGAAGATGTTCCATGCCAAAAATCTTAGCTCTAGCTCTTACAGTTCTTTAAAAAGAAGATCTTTTAAGTTTTTACTATATGCATATAGGGAAAATCAATGACCCCGGGGGCGGGGCCAATTTTGACCCCAGGGCTTTTATTTGAACAAACTTGGTAGACACTCATTAGAAGATGTTTCATGCCAAATATCTAAGCTCTAGCTCTTAGGGTTGTTTAAAAGAAGATATTTAAAGATTTTTCTTTCGGTTGCCATGGCAACCAGAGTTCTGCATGGAATTAAATTCTTTGAACAATTTTTAAAGGTGACCACCAAAGGAACATTCCTGTGAAGTTTGGATGAAATTGGCTCAGTGGTTTATGAGGAGATGTCATTTAAAGCAAAAGTTTACGGACGGACGACGGACGGACGACGGACGGACGGACGCCGGACGAAAAGCGATCACAAAAGCTCACCCTGTCACTTTGTGACAGGTGAGCTAAAAAAATCACAAACTGAAATTCTCAATAGCAAAACTGACAAATTTGCTAAAGTTCATGCCAGTATAGTATCATCACACATATCATTGTCAAATTTTGATGTAATTTTTTATGCTTTGAATGATTGGTTGGAATAAACAATTTTGCACAATTCTAAATACAATGCCAAAAGAGCATAAAAGAGGTTTCAAAGGTACCAAATATTTTTCACAACTAAACAATTTTATGATACAAAATTTCCCAGACTAAGCTTAGAATGTCCAGGTTAAGGCTTTGATGCTCCCCAAAATTCCACTTATGTAACTAAATGCCCACATCTGATTTTGAGGTATGATCTTGAGCTTTGACCTAGTCAAACTGTTCTTGCATGGGACCATGCCATCTCATGATGTATTTGCATATGACCTTAAATTATGGCCTTACCTTTGCCCCAAACCCCCCTTCTCCCAACCATCTAATGATGGTCAACTTTTGTGCCAGGATTTGAATTCCCCTTTCTTTTCGGAAAGCTTTTTGAAACATTTTTTTTTGTTTGGCATTTGACCTTAAAGTAAGACCTTGACCTTTGACCTAGCCACATGGTTCTTGTCCAGGACATGCCGTGTTATTATTGTGAATATTTGTGTTAAATTAATTGAAATGCTGCCTACTAATTACAAAGTTACTACTCAGACAAGCATAATCTGGACACTAGTAAGACCCTCGGTTCTTGCTACATTACTGAAAACAATTGAGATAAGTCATTTGAAATATTGCCTACTAATGATAGAGTTACGACCCGGACAAGCATAATCCGGACGGACGCACGAACATACACTGGATCACCATTTCACAACTTGTTAAGCTCTCCGCAAGCAGGCTCGACAAAAATACGTCAATATCAAATATGTAAAATTTTTAGCAAGAGTCACTGCAAAGTAATTTTTAATATAGAGGACGAATATTGTAGTAAAAAATTATCCAAAGAAATATCACTTTCTTGTACAAGCTATAATTAAAAAGTTTTGACCTAGATAGCCACTCATTTACAGATCAAAATCATACTTCAACTAGACCTATCACTGAAGGTGATTAATACCCCCACCAGCAAACTTTACTTTTAAAAAAATAAGTGGTCTGAATAAAAATTTGAATTCAACCTATATTAAATCAAGTATCAACTGTGTACAAAGAATTATTTCAATTTATTGCAATCCCAACCAGGAAGCGATTTTTCTATTTTAGTAACGGTGACCTTTACATTGACCCAAGGGGGTCCAAATGCAATACCAACTGAGGTCTTCATATAAGCTTGCTATACACCACGTTTGATTACAATATCTCATTCCTAACGGGAAATCATTTTTCTCATTTTAGTAATGGTGACCTTAGCCTTAGCCTAGGGGGTCCAAATGCAATACCAACCGGGGTTTCCACACATAAGGTTGCTATATACAAAGTTTGATTACAATACCTCATTACAATTGTACTATTAAACCATGATTTGGACCGACATACAAGCTGACTCCTATATACCCCTTTAAACTTCGTTTTTGGAGGTATAATTATTCAACATGTCATAAGTGTTGCATTGTCCCAGTATGAACCAAATTTGTCTGAGAAATTAATAACATAGTTCAGGCACTGTAACTTAAGCAATCCATGATGGTCAAGGTAAGTTTGAGGTCAAAATCACACTTAAATGTCAGTTTTGCAAAAAAGTTTTATTCAAGTATGTAATTGTACAAATTTGATTAAAATATCATAATTAAGAATGACTCTAATATCATGTCAATATCAATGTCATATGTAGCATTTTAACCAACTTTAAGTATATAACAAACTAGAAATGTGTCATCACGCCACAGATGCCCCCGCATGCAGCCAAAACACTGTAACACTATATGCCCCAGCCATTTTATGGCGGGGGCATAAAAAGTAAATATACATGTACAAGCAAGAGGGCCATGGTGACCCTAATTATCGCTATTATCAAGGCTCTTAATATTGTTGGCAATGAATGAAAAGCAGATAAAATGTCATAACCTTAAACTGATATCATTAAATATTGCAAGCAATACAAAAGTCCCCTACTGGTCACAACCCCAGCAACATTCTGAAGGGCAATGGTCATTCAATTAAACCATTGTATAATCTTCTGAGTTCTTAGTTTATCTGTATCATAGTAGCATGTGAAGTTTCCATTATGTTTATACAACAGATAAACAAAAGATCTGATTTTCTCAGGATGAACTTTTTCTCTATTTTTATAAGTAAATTTGTTGGAAAAGTTTCAAGTTCTTTAAAAGTGATCTCAAGAAACAGTTTTTAGAGCTTGCCAGACAGACTGACAGAGGGCAAATCTTTGAACATCCCTGGTTGTAACCAGAATTTAACATTTTCAAAAGTCAAGTTCTTTAACTAATGAGGAGATAACTCTTGAAATAAAGATGCTTGACTTATGAAAATTGTCGTACTGATGTGAGTGGTGACAAAGAACAATTATCTTAGGTCTAAAGTACATAACATCAGAGAAGACAAGGTAGTCTGAAAGACAGCTAAATCCCCTTCCGCAGTGAACATGAATGTCTACTTCTTGACCTTTTACCAACCATGACCTTGATGTTGTGCCATACAGATCATAAGCACATAGTCTCAGGATGGTGATTATTTGTGCCAAATTATCTAAACTCTTCCATAAAGTCATAAGTCATAGAGAACATATAACCTTGACTTTGGGGGAAGCAACCTGGATGTTGTGATCTGCAGATTGTGTGAATGTGGGGATCATTTGTGCCAAGTAATTTTAAAACCTTTGAATTGTTAATAAGTTATAGAGCGGATATGAAAAATAGATGTTTTTATATTGGACTTTTGTGTGTGACCCTGACCTTGTGGGTTGTGACTTGATTATTGTGCTCTGCCAATGGTGTCATAATAGTGGTCATCTCTGCCAAGTTATCTTTAAAACATTGCAGCCGTTTAAATGTATGGAGTGAACACGAAATGTAGACTTCTCACATTTAACCTTTAAGTGTAACTTTGACCTTGGGGGTTAGCAATCTAATTATTGCACTCGATCTGCACATTGTCTCATTATGGTATTCACTTGTGCCAAGTCATTTCAAAAAAATTCAGTGGTTTAAAAGTTATGGAGTGGACAAGAAAGTGTTATGGATGGGTGGACAGAAGGAAGGGGATTATAGGAAGGCCTCTGTCAGTCTGTCCTTCCTTCTGTGCGTCTATCCAAATGTGAAAAAAATAACAATTTTCATATATGTACCATTTATAGGAAGAAGAAGAATATCTGAAATAAAGCATGTGTAAAAACATTCCTGGTTGCTAATGCTAAGGGAAACCAACAGTTCCAAAAGATGTGTACATATTAGGAAAATCAATGCCTCCGAGACCACCCCACCCATAACAAAAAATTATTTGAACAAATTTGGTAGACACTCACTAGAAGATGTTTCATGCTAAATATCTAAGCTCTAGCTCGTTGGATTTTTTAAATGAAGATCTTTTTTTTTTTACTTTTTACATATAAGTAAAATCAATGTAGGGCCAATTTTGACCCCAGGGCTTTTATTTGAATAAACTTGATTAACACCCATTAGAAAAATATCTAAGCTCTAGCTCTTTGGTTTTTCTTTAGTTACTGTGCAGGGATTGGTTTCAAAGGAGATGTGGTTTAAAGTAATTGTTGATGATGCACGCCGCACAACAACGGACAGGGGGGATCACAAGAGCGCAACATGAGCATGTTGTGCTCAGATAAGCTAAAGATATTGTGTCGCATTTTCGTATTATAAAGGAAAAGTAAAAATTCTGATACCATATCCACAAGAGCGATGTATAGGAACATTCCTCCAACCAAAGTGAATACCCATAGAGTGGCTCCTTCTTGGTTACCAACAGCCACACCAATCAACATACCAACAAAACACAAGATGGATGAGAGACAGTTGTAAATAATAGCTTGCTTTGGTGACATACCAGCTCTCAATAACATTGCAAAATCACCTGAAATAAAGACATTTCCTTAAAAGCTTGCACAAGACCATAATATATTTTCTTAAAGGGACTCCACTGAGGTTTAAAAGTCTTAAAAACATAACATTTGAATTTCTTACATAAATGGGCTGGGGCATTTTAAACAGAAATATATGCAAAGATAGTTAAGAAATATACTTTGAAATAAATTGAAAATCGTATTTTTATGCTTTTTTTATCCCGATGTGAGTGAAAAGTGTCTAAATGCTTTTCATTTTGGGTCACTTTTTACAATTTGAATAATTATTCTGGAAAAACGTATTGCGCGAATGATCTGAAATTTTGCACAAAGATAAGTGGTCAAATAATACATCAAATGGTACAATTATCTGGGAAAAATATTTTCAGTCCCATCATGTCAAAAAACCTTAGTGGAGTCCCTTTAATAATTGAAACTCATTAAAGACATAAGTGTAATAATCAAAGTTTGTTTATGTTGTTCTTACATTAATTTTGTATGTATTTTTTTGAAACATTATTAATTGCATATCAGTTCTCACACAAAGATCTTTTGTTGAGAAAACAAATTCACTTATAAGTTCAGTAAACTTCTATATTATACACTCTTTCCCACCTGCATAATCGATGGAAACAAGCACTTATCATAGTATTGCAAGCAATCCATAAGTCCCATACCAGTTAGAACCCCAGCAGCATTCTGAAGGGACATTGGTCATTGAATTATGTCATTGAATAATTGAAAGACATGAATAAACTTAAATCTTAAAGTTCTTAGTTTCTCTGTACCAAAGTAATGTGTTAAGTTTCCCTAATTATGTTTACAAAACAGATAATCAAAAGATCCAATTTTCTCAGGATGAATAATGTATAACTGATGTTTCAACTTTTCTCTATTTTAAGTAAATTTGTTGGAAAAAGGGCAATGTCTTTAAAAGTGATGTCAGGAAATAGTTTTTAGAAATGGACAGACAGACCAACATACAGAGACTTATATCTTTAAACATCCCTTGTGGTTAGCAGAATATAACATTTTTAAAAGTAAAATTCCTAAACTAAGAGGAGATAACTCTTGAAATAAAGATGCTAGACTTATGAACATTGTCATACATGATAAGAGTGTAACAAAGAACAATTATTATCTAAAGTTTAACCCTTTACCTCATATATACGCGAAAATATGCACTTTCGACCCCCCTCTCCAACTATAAAATAGTGAAAAAATGTCCCGTTTGGGTCCCAAACACATATTTTCATTTGAAAAATGTTGATAAAAAAGTGATCACTTTTTTTGGCATTGCTCCCTATCAATAACGTCATCAAGGGGTTGCCAGAAAGGGGAAGTGCCCCCTTCTGTTTCAGGGGTTCAAGGGGGCTGCAGCCCTCCTCATCGCCAAAAAAAATTTTTGGACATGTGACAGGCTAAAAATGGCCGTTTTCACTATCACAATGCACTGAGAAGTTGCATCACTTCGAAATCAGTTTAGATTAAAAAAAAAGAGCCGGTTGAACCGGGTGATGCTTCCTGAATAGGTTTTGGACACAGGAAGGTATACCTCTTGTAGTGTCAGAGTTATGTCACAGACAAAGTTCAAAGTGTAAAAACAACCCAAATATTGTGCATGACACATTGTCTCAATATGGTGATCATTTCTGTGAAATAGTTGTAAAATCTGACTTCAAATAACAAAGTAATGGGCCAGACATAATTTTGCTGCAAGGTCATGCTGTGAACTTGACCTTAAATTCAAGGTAGCGACCCTAATGTTGCACACGACACTTTGATTCAATATGGTGATTATCTCTATGAAATAGTTGTTAAATCCGACTTCAAGTAACGAAGTTATGGGCCCGACACGGTTCTGCTGCAAGGTCATGCTGTGACCTTGACCTTCAAGGTAGCGACCCAAATGCTGAGCGCGCCAAGTCATCTCAATATGGTAGTCATTTCTGTGAAATAGTTTTAAAATCCGACTTCAAATAATGAAGTTATGGACCGGACACTATTTTGCTTCAAGGTCATGCTGTGACCTTGACCTTCAAGGTAGCGACCTAAATGTTGTGACCGACACGTCGTCTAAATCTGGTGATCATTTCTGTGAAATAGTTTTAAAATCCGACTTCAAATAACAAAGTTATGGGTCGGACACAAATTTGGGACGTAGATACAGACGGACGTACCAACTTTTGATGTTTATGAGGCAAATCAGCTCATAAACACCACCTGGACCAACGTTTATAAGCAAAATTAGCTCATAAAAACAAAAATATAGCTCTTAATTTGAATTTTATGAGTTTTTGTCCTTTATATAACTACGGAATGAAGCTCATAAATATCAAATGTTTGCTCAGACTGACGGACGGAAGGACTGACAGACGTCCGGACAACCCTACGACTATATGCTCCAATGACCAATCACCATACCAAGTTTGAAGTTCCTAGGCCTAAGCGTTCTTTAGTTATTGATCGGAAACTGTTTTTACCTACAAGGTCAATGTGACCCTGACCTTTGACCCCAAAATCAATAGGGGTCATCTGCTGGTCATGACCAATCACAATACCAAGTTTGAAGTTCCTAGGCCTTAGTGTTCTTTAGTTATTGATCGGAAACCGAATTCGGGACGTACGGACGTCCGGCCGAAATTGAATAAAGGGCCATTTCTTTTGTTATTTTCTATTGTTTAATAGAGGGCCAATGGCCCCTTACTCTATTGTTACGGAATAAACTCTATTGTTCTCTTTTGTTCTGTTTACAGTTAGATGGCCCTCTATCCCTTTTCGGTAGTGCGGACATACTGACGGACGGACAACCCGACGACAATATTTTTTTTTCGGGTAGCATAAAAACTATCCAAAATAGTGATTTCTGGCAATTTTGAGATGTCCCCCTGTTGCCATGGTAACAGGAAATCTAAGAATGAGCATGCTGTTACAGTCTAAGGTTATGGTTCAGTCAACATTTGTGCCTTTGTCAAGTTTCATCAGTATAGAAGTTTTCATAGTTTTATAGCAGTTTGAACTTGTAACAGGAGACTTTTCAATGAAAACGGCCATTTTTCACAATATGCTCATGTGGTAAAGGTTGACCTTTTACAAATTGCATATTTGTAGTGGAGATAACAATTAGAAATTGTGAATTTTTAAATCTTTTCCAAGTTCAAGGGGGAAAACTGTCAAAAAACATCTGACCATGACCAAATAGAACTTGACTTGTATTTTCTGGTAAAATAACAGCTCATGCAAGGTGAGCCTCTAGCAAACACTCCTAGGCAAACTTTCTGGTTGAATACCTGCACATGTGATTTAAACTTTAAACATACATTTCAACAAAATTAAGAGTGTCTCAGGATCTGTATAGGACAGATAACTTTGTCTAAAATCATCGAACCATGGCCTGATTTGAACTTGACCTGCTTTGTCCTGTGATGTATCTATATGTCAAATTTGATATTTCCATATATGGACTGTCACCAAGTTTTTGAACTTAAATGACCTATATTCAAACTAAACTTGAAATCATCTAAACAACCATTGTGACCAATTTCCAGGATATTTGGACCAAAACAGTACCCTCTAAAGTGTTAAGGTTTTTCCAGTATTTTGACCCCATATGAGCCATACACAAACTTGACCAAGAAATCATTTAAACCACATTTCTGACAAATTTCTAGGATATTTGAATAGAAACAGTAGTCTTTAGAATGTTTTTATATATTGGACTATTCTAAAATATCTAGAAATTTCATGAAAAAAAAATCATTACTTCCCTAAAACAGGTTGGAAAGAGCAAAGATAAATGACCTAAATTTTGCATGTGACACTTTCCCTCACAAAAGTGAACATTTGTGACAAGTTATACTGAAATCCCTCTATGCATGTAGAAGTTTTGCTCCAAACAAGGGTTTTTCAATGACCACTGTGACCTTGATCTTTGACCTAGATACCTGCTTCATGCCCACAACACGGCCTCTCATAGTGGTGAACATTTGTATTAAGATTCAACATTTTGAGGCCAATTATTGCGCACATAATCCAGGTCCCTGCTACCAAATTCAAGGTCACATAGAGAGGTCAGAGTTAAGTCAAAACAGAACAGGGACCATTTAGTCATCATTTATTGATGGATTGTAACACAAATTATAACTATCATAACTGCAACTGTGACAAATATAATTTAAGTTAATATTTGCAAGGTCAAGGTCACTAGAGATGATAAAATATCCAGATATTGTCCAAAAATTGCCATAACATATCTCCTATATGCATATCTATAATTACCACATCTCTGTCATAGGGGCATCCGTGGCTGAGTGGTTAAGATAGTTGACTTCAAACAACTTGCCCCTCAACGCTGTGGGTTCGAATCCCTACAGGGACTTTGGATTCTTTCATGTGAGGTAGATATCCAGCTAGCTTACGCAATGTCGGTGGTACGTGCCTGAAATAATGCTCGGAAGGGCATCTGAGGTCTTCCTCCACCAGTAAAGCTGGAACGTGGCCAAATGACCTATACAGTGTCGGTATGACATAAAACCCAATCAAACAAACAAACATCTATGTCTAAAGTTTTTCTGACGGGCGTATTTTGAGACAATGTTGCTCTTTGTTATAATTTAAAAACAAACATTATTGTTGTTTTCAGTCAGTTGCATGGAGATTAACCATGTGGTGCTTTTGTTTGTTTTTAGCTCCGCTATTCGCAGAATATTCCAGCTAAAGCAGTCACCAATTTGTCCGCGTTTGCATCCCTGTGGTTAAGTTTTTATGTGAAAGCTGGTATCTTTATCAGGGAATGGATTGAAACTTGACACACCACCAGGGGTGAAACTATTATGACCTGTTTTTCAAGTGATCAATCTCATATTACAGTATCCCTTGCACAAAGAAGGTAAGTTAATCTGTTTATTAATATGCAAACAATATTTTCTTATCTATGTAACTGTATTATGGATAAAGAGTAGAATACCTATTTCATGTGGTAGCTCATGACAAAATATAGCAACAGAGGTGCTAAATCCACCAGTGATACTGTTAGTAAATGCAGCCCCAATAGCCAGACCATCACAAAAATTATGTATCCCATCCCCAAGGATGACCATCCAAGCAACAGAAGCAACCGAGTTTGGTATACCATCTATCCCATGAGAATGTCCATGCCCGTGGTGTTTTGGTGAAGCCATAACAGAATTGTTAATCATTGAAGATGTTTCATCGCCATCAACACATGTCTCTACACAGTCTGGTTTCCTCTGACCATGTTCATGACTGACAGATGTTGTGTCTTCAAAACTGATGGTGCAATGCTCTGTATGAACTTCATCTGCATATGCCCCAAGAGCTAAAAAAAACAAAAAATAAACAGGACTGCACTTGTGAAATGCAATGCACTTTAGTAGGAACAAAGGATATATAATCTAACAATGATAAATTTCAAATACAAGAGGGCCATGATGACCCTAAAATCACTCATTTGAATATAAATATTCTCCATGACATTTAGGAATAAGTAATAGTGTAAACTAACAAGAGCCACCACCGGATGGGGTCAATGCTTGACTTTATACTTTTTCTAAAAGTAAACAAAGAAACGTCTGAACAAATCTTAACGTTTCCTTTTTATAACTTTAATAGGTCTTGTCACACTAGTTTTGTCAAGGTACGAATCCTTTCCATAAATAAATGACAATATATAGAAAATAATAACATTCAGAAGAAAGAAATATATATATATATACATGTATATATTCGCATGTGGAGTACAAAAGGAAACAAGAACGTGTTTGTTAAACACAAATGCCCCCGGCCCCTTTTTTGCAATTCCTTATTTTTGCCCGAAAAATTATTAGTGCGGTTAAATTTTTAAAATTTTCTAAATTTCCGTATATAAAAGATCAGAGTAGGAATATACCAATGCACTAGAGTCTAGTGAATTCGGTGGTGAAGGTCATATTTCACACAGCTTAAATTTCACGACTACATCAAAGGACAACACAGAAAGACACTTTGTCAAAATCTAGGTCAGCTGATATCAAAGTTCACTTTACATCTTAATCTGTGCACATGGTTTCATAGCTGTACATCAAAGGACAAGAAAGCAGGTCACATCATCAAAATCTAGGTCACCTGATATCAAAGTTCAATTTTACAACTAAAACTGTGCACAAGGTCAAGATTTCATTGCTGTACATCAAAGGACAAAAAAGTAGGTCACTGTCCCCTTGGGGCAAGGCCAAGGGTTTAATTCAAAACAATCTTGATACAGGTCCACCAAACAACATTTTTAGTCAAATATCTAAGCTGTAGCTTTCTTCCCATTTTTACTATATACATTTAAGGAAAACCTATGGCCCTCGGGGCAGGGCAATTTTGACACTTAAGAGGCAAAATTTGAACAACTTTGGTAGAGTACCTATAGATCATTTAACAAAATTTAATATTAAAGCTCTAAGCCTTGTACCTTCAGACAATAAGATTTTTTTATTTTGTACTATATGTATATATTGAAAATCAATGACCCAAAGGGCGGGGGCAATTTTGACCCCAGGGCTTTAATTTGAACAATCTTGATAGAGATTCACTTCACAATGTTTATGCAAAATATCTTACCTCTAGCATTTGTCAATTGCTAGAAGAATTTTTTTTAAGTTTTAACTAAAAGTTTTTAATTTATACATATAGGGAAAACCAATGATCCCCGGGGCGGGGCTATTTTTGTCCCCAGGGCTATAATTTGAACAATCTGGGTACAGGTCTACCAGACAATGCATTATGCAAAATATCTAAGCTCTAGGCATTTTGGGTCTTTACAAGAAGGTATTAATTTTAACTATATGTACATTATATAATAGTGAAAATCAATGACCCCCGGGGCGGGGCCGATTTTAACCCTAGGGCTATAATTTGAACAATCTTGGTAAGGGTCTACCAGACAATGCATTATGCAAAATATCTAAGCTCTAGGCCTTTTGGGTCTTTACAAGAAGGTATTTTAAGTTTTTACTATATGTACATATAGTGAAAATCAATGACCCCCGGGCGGGGCCAATTTTGACCCCAGGGCTATAATTTGAACAATCTTGGTAGAGGTCTACCAGACAATGCCTTATGCAAAATACTAAGCTCTAGGCTTTTTGGGTCTTTACAAGAAGATTTTTTAAATTTATTCTTATAATTCCTTTTGGTTGCCATGGCAACCAGATTTCTGCATGGAATGAAATTCTTTGAACAACTTTGGAAGCCCTTCACCCAAGGATCAATCCTGCCAAGTTTGGTTGAAATTGGACTAGTGGTTTTTCACAAGAAGATTTTTTAAGTTCACTATATAATCTATATAACACACAAACAAACAAACACACACACACACACAGGTGAATCGCTATATGCCACCGCATCGCAGATGCTGCGGTGGCATAAACATGTTTACCCATTCACTCAGTTATGGACAGAAACATTGCCAAAAAATTGTAAACACAAGTTATATAGCTTGACAGAGTCATGGCATTTTGTTGCCAAGTCATTGCTATGACTTGTGAAGTGATAAATATTCAACTATATCAAATATATATATAAATGTAAGAAATCTATACTTGGCACCCATGACCTTGACCCACTGAAACCTATAGAATATCATGCAAGTTATCTTCCCACCAAATATGAAATACACCTGTCAATAAATAAAGGCTGTATGGGCAAAATGTTAAATTCTATTTTGAGCATTGATGACCTTGATCAAACTGACCCCTCACTCCATCCTAAGTAAGAATAACATGCAATTTATCTTCCTACCAAATATGAAATATATCTGTCAATAAATAAAAGCTGTATGGGCTAAAGTGTAAAAATCTATTTTTAGCACTAGTGACCTTGACACACTGATCCCAAACTTTATCCAAAGGAAGAATACCATACAAGTTATCTTCCTATCAAATATGAAATAAATCTATTTTATGCACAAGTGACCTTGACCCACTGATCCCTACACCAATCAAAAGGATGAATACCATAAAAGTTATCTTCCTACCAAATATGAAATATATCTGTCAATAAATAAAGGCTGTATGAGCAAAAGTGTAAAAATCTATTTTCAGCACTGGTGACCTTGACCCAACTGAACACTAACTCCATCAAATTTTATGTTCCTATCAATTATAAATGACATCTGTCTGTAGAATATGGTTAATACACCTGTAAAAATGTAAAAATCTATTTTTAACATTGGTGACCTTGATATTGGTGACATTGACCTTGACCCAAATGACCCCTTACTATACCCAAACAAGGAGTGAAATACTTTGAGCTATGCATGAACAAGTTGAAAATTGCAAATTTATACTACTGTAAGTCAAGGGCAATAACTCTAACAAAACTGAAAAAAATCCACATGCAAAGTCCCAGGTGCATAGCTTCACAGTGATGTGAATTATTATTCCTGTAATTTAGTGATGTTGATCATAATTCCTATAAAGTTGGTTGATTCTAACTCAAGCACTCAAGGAACAAATAACAACATAATGAAACGGTTTTTACTAAGTCAAGGGAAATAACTCTACAAATACTGGATAAATCTACAAGCGAAACCCCAGGTGCACAACTAAATATGCTGAGCAACCTTCCCGTAAGGTTTAATGACTCTATGTCAAATCCTTTTTGAGTTACATGCGACACAAGTTGAAAATTGCAAAAATTTTACTAAGTCAAAGGCAATAACTCTAAAAATACTAAATATATTCAGACAAAAATACTCAGGTGCACAACCACACAGTCATGCTGATCAACATTCCTGTAAAGTTCCATGACTCTAGGTCAAATACTTTTTGAGTTATGTGCGACACAATAGAGAACGGATAGACGCACGGACAAGGGTAAACCTAAATGCCCGACACTTATAAAGTGGGGGCACAAAAAGATAATATAATGAAGACTTTGTGATCAATACTTTTCAAGATAACGGGTTGAAACCATTCTGACATTTAAGGCCCCTGTGACCTTGACCATAGTCTATGAAAATATGAGCACAATGTCACTTTAAAGATAGTTGTGGTTCTTGTATGTTGCATTTCCTTTCATTGTGGTTTACCATTGATAATGTTTTATTAAATTACTCTGTAATAAATCCAGAAAGAGTTACACTTCTTGAGCACTGCACTTCCTCTCATTGCGCTTCACCATTGTGTGAAGTTGCATTGAATTCTAAACTTTAGTTTTTAAGTTATGCACCGGGCAAGGAAATGGAACAAAGGGCTATAACTCTACAAATACAGAAGATGAAGTTATGGTGAAGTTATGATGAAGCACTGCACTTCCTAGCATTGCACTTGACCATTGTATGAAGATGTATTGAATTCCAACTACTAGTTTTCAAGTTATGCTCTGGACAAAAATGGTGACAAAGGGCAACAACTGTAGTAAGTCCAAATAGAGTTATGGTTCTTGTGTACTGCACTTCATCTCCCTGCCCTCAACCACTGTACATTGAATTCCAACCATTGATTTTCAAGATATGCTCTAGACAACAAAAAGTAACAAAGGGCAAAACTTTTAAATGAGTCAAGAAAGAGTTATGGTTTCTGTGCACTGCGCTTCCTTTCAATATACTTGACCATTGAATAAAATTGTATTGAATTCCAACTAGTAGTTTTCAAGTTATGCTCTGGACAAAAAAAAGCAATGGAAAAGTAACAAAGGGCAATAACTCTTTAATTACTCTGGACAGAGTTATGGTTATTTTGCACTGCACTTCCTCTTATTGTGCTTGACCATTTTATAAAGTTGTTTTGAATTTCAACCAGTACTTTTCAAGCCATGCTCCAAACAAGGAAAAGTAACAAAGGGCAATAATTCTGTAATTAGTCAAGATGGAGTTATGGTTCTTGTGCACTGCACTTCCTCTCAATATGCTTGACCATTGTATGAAGTTGTATTGAATTCCAACCATTAGTCTTCAAGTTATGCTCCGGAAAAGAAAAATGCGATGGACGGCTGGATCGACCGACTGACCACTGAGTGACTCCTATAATTACCCCCCCCCCCCAAACTTCGTTTTGGGAATATAACTAGGGGAAAATAACTGTGACAGTATACTTGGATTTTGACATAAGATGAATATCTTACATTTAGTATCTTCTTGTATTGATGAATTGAATATAAGTTTGATGAAATTGTGAAGTACCATGCAATTCATATTTTTGTCTCTGCTGTAACAGAGATGTCTCTCCTGTAACTAAAATGTCACTTATGTAACAAGATGTAAATAACAAAGTTATTTAACCACGGTCTTGTCAGATAAAAATCAAATACTACATGATAGCTTTCAGATGACATTTCATCTTAATCAGGGCTCATCCGGAAGGGCGATTTAGGCGAAAACTTTGCCGTGTATATTCCCATTTTGCTCTCCCAATTCATCAAAGAGAAGTCAACTTCGCCGATAAAATCCTAATTCCCAAAGAGTAATTACTTGGCGATGTAAAGAGCAGAGGTTGTATCCGCCCATATGACGACTGCTAATTATCATTATCCAATCAGAGCATTGCTATATACTACACTTATACCTGTATGCAAAGTGATAGACCGCCTACTCTAAGCAGTAAGTTATGAGAGCATCGGGTATAATTGTGTGACAGTTTTGCGAGTTTAATAGAGGACTAGGCGATAATTATTCATTGTTTTTTCCCCCGTTTATCTAAACACATGCAATCTTCCCTAATTGATATAAACAATGCACTTCGATGGCAGTGTTTAACCCGAGTAAAGGCAAGGTGCAATAGAGTTAAAAACTCAATCAAAGTTTTGAATAATTTCAGTCCGATAACATCAATTTTTTACTGTAAATATCCCTACGGTGTGTATGAAAATTATTGCTGTCATCTTCAAGCAATTACAGTAACAAAATCGGACAAGGTGCATAGCTTTTCATTTTCTGTAATTAAAGTTGATTAAAGAACACACAAAGAAGTTATTATCATGATTGTCTAAAAACACGCATGACTGTTGATATTTTTCACAAGTCGATCGGTCAGCGAGTGGATCTGCGCCAATTAGTTGGCTTCGAATAATAGGTGTGAAATTCTTTCATAATTGTTTTATCGGGACCGAAATTTTACTTCGAAAAATAGGAGGTATTCGGATAATGCATTTCGATTAATACGCTCCTATTTATATTGATTTACATAGAGATAAAATTGGGACCGCCGATCTACTTCGGATAATGCCGGGTATTCGAAAAAAGGGTTGTCGAATAACCGGGGTCGGACTGTAAACTCCAATACTCTAAATATTTACGCTTTAAAAATTCATGTGCATTTATCATCTAAAATTAATATTTGGTGCCTTTTTGATATGAATTAATTGTTCTTTGAAAAGATTAATACCAAGCCTGTTGAATGATACATGTTTACAGTATCCTCTTTCTAGCTGTTAAATATAAAAGTGTTACAGGAGTGACATAAGAGAAGTAGTCAGGTCATAGTCAATGCTCTTCTGACAAAATAAAGGCATTTTAAGCTTGCAAAAACAATTTTTTATCATTCCCTTATCACACCACAAAAAAATACATTGATCATAGATCATCTAAAAATCAAAGATATTCAAAATGAAAAAGTTACGAAAATATAGAATGACTCACCAACTGACAAATGCAAAGCAATATACCCCCACTTTCTTTGAAAGGGGGCCTAAAAAAGAAAAATTGTGTGAGGGAATGGTAAAATTGCTTCTCAGTTTAATCTGGAAAATTAAAAAAAATAATTTCAAGGTTGTGAACTTTACAACTTATAAAGTATTAAGATGGAGGTTACCTTTGTTTGGGTGGATACTCATTACCATTCCATCACATTCACTATTTGCAAGTTTTTCTCCAACCTTCAACATTTTCTCATCTTTCAAACATTTTTTACTACGATTTCTTTTTTGCTAAAAAATTAAATTAGAATATTATTTAAAAATGCTGTTCTGTTTATTCAAACATATATAAATACATATACAACAAGCAAATTCGTTGAATTTATATCCCCCGCTGAGTACTGGTTATTATTAATACAACAACTGAAGACATAAGGCTTTATTTATATATTAATCATGGCATAAACAGTAATATTCTTTGAACTTGATAAATATTCAGGGAAATAACAGAGCCATAACTTTGTGTTAAATAGTAAAATCTGGAAATGCCAATAAGATGTATGCATACAACATAACTAATCAAGGGCCATAAATCTGAGTTATAAGTATCTTACTGGAACAAGGCGACTATATGCACATCTCCTCTTAGTATCCCATAAAGTTTCATTGAATTCCAGCCGGTGGTAGCAGAGAAGTAGCGAGGAAACAAATATTTTTCTATATGGATACTGCATAACTAATCAAGGGCCATAACTCTGAGTTAAAGTGTCTGACCCAAACAAGCCGATGATATGCGCATCTCCTCTTGATATTGATGATTCCCATAAAGTTTCGTTGAATTCCAGCCAGTAGTTGCAGAGAAGTTAGCGCATAAACGATTTTTACTCCATATGCGTACTGCATAACTAATCAAGGGCCATAACTCTGAGTTAAAGGGTCGGACCCGAACAAGCCAACGACATGCGCATCTCCTCTTGGTATTGAAGGTTCCCATAAAGTTTCGTTGAATTCCAGCCAGTAGTTGCAGAGAAGTAGCGCATAAACGATTTTTACTCCATATGCATACTGCATAACTAATCAAGGGCCATAACTCTGAGTTAAAGTGTCTGACTGGAACAAGCCGATGATATGTGCATCTCCTCTTGGTATTGATGATTCCCATAAAGTTCCGTTGAATTCCAGCCAGTAGTTGCAGAGAAGTAGCACGGAAACGATTTTTACTCTATATGCATACTACATAACTAATCAAGGGCAATAACTCTGAGTTAAAGTGTCTGACCGGAACAAGCCGACGAAATGCGCATCTCCTCTTGATATTGATGATTCCCATAAAGTTTCGTTGAATTCCAGCCAGTAGTTGCAGAGAACTACTCCGGAAACGAAATTCGGACGGACGGACAACGCCAAAACCATATCCCCCTCCCGATTCCATCGGCGGGGGATAATGAGAAATGTGTCTATAGGACACTTTTGCCCCAATTTGTTAAGGTGGGACACTATTATGCCCCATGAATGAAAATTTTGTTAACTAGAAATGTGTCCATAGGACATGGGTGCCCTGACACTCCACTGATATGTCAAACTTAAGACTCTAGGTCAGACAATTTTTGGGCTGCACATGACACAAGTTGAAAAGTAAAAAATTTTTACTAAGTCAAGGGCAATAACTTTACAAATATTGAATAAATCCACAAGCAAACCCAAAGGTGCATTAGTACACAGGCTGACCATGAACAAGTTGAAAATTGCAAATTTATACTAAGTCAAGGGCAATAACTCTAACAAGAGGGCCCAGAGGGCCCTGTATCGTTCACCTGAGAAATATGTCAAAAGGTCAAAGTGTAGCCCCTTTTCACCCCAGAAGCACAATTTGCAAACAAGAAACAGCTAAATTTGAAAAAAATTTGTACACCGTCACCAGGAAATTTTTGTGTAAAATTATTTCAAATTGAACCAGTGGTTAAGATGTTGTTTAAATGTTGTTGTTCTCTAATTTTTAACTCTGGCAACAATTTTATTAAACAGTTCAGCCTGTCACTAAGTGAGAGGAGAGCTAATAAAAAATTTCATGGGGGAGAATCACGCCGTTTGTTACCCAAACAAACAGATGGTTGATGCAGCCAAAAAGTAAGTTTTTCATCTTTTTCTACAAAATTCGTGAAGTTCTAGTGAAAAGGTACATATATAAACCTCTTCCACTGTTTGTCGGGCACACATGATTTTATTTCATGATGTTTCGTCCCATACTTCATCTGAAATGTGCGTCACAAGATTCGAAGTGAGAGTATTTTCCACCAGTTTGATCGTGGTAACTGATGTCCCTTGAAAAAGAACAAAGTGCAATAATTTCAAAATTAGAAAAGATTTTTTCTTTGAAACGCATTCATTTCACCCAACTTAAAAAAATTTTTTTTTAACCCTTAGGTTTCCGATTTTTTAATAAAACAAATTTAAAAAATAAAACAAAAACAATAATACAAAATTTAAGGGGTTCCCCAATTCTTTTGAACTCCCAAAAAATACCCATTAATCACTCCTAAAAATTTTCAGGTTTTCCTTTTATTTTAAGATTTTTTGGCAGATTTTTTTTAAAAAGAATTTAAAAAATTCAAATAAGTTTTGTTTTTTTTTTATAATTTTATAAATAGATTATCTTCTTAATTTTTTTTTTGCTTTTACCCCAAAATATTTATTATGGTTTTTTTAACCATTTTCCGGGAGAAAACCAGTATTAAAAACCTTCCCCAGCTAAAACCCAAAAGCATTTTGGGGAATAACCCCACGCCAAGAGGTCTGATTGAATTTATCCTCAAAATGCCAGGAAGGGTGGTTATCTTACAAAGTTTCATGTTGATATCTCTTATAATTTTAGAGTAATATCTCAGACAAAGTTCAAAAAGTAACAAGAGCTGTCGGTAGGACAGCAAAGCTCAACTATTCTTAGTGCTTGATAGTAAAAAAAACCTTGATTAAAACTTAAAATTTTCTCAGTAAAGAAAACGGCAAATTTTTTCTTAAAATCCATATTACAGATATAAGCCCTTTGAGTTATGTTCACAAGTGTGCAAAGTTTCAAAGCCATATTATTATTCAAGGGACTTTGAAAATATTTGAGGTATTACAAAAAAACTTTAAACTAAATTCCAAGTTGAAAAAGGGGCATAATTCTGTCAAAATGCTTGATACAGTTACCTCCTCCTGTCTACAGGTTGGGGTCATGATGGTGAACAAGTGTGCAAAGTTTCAAAGCCATATGTCAATGGACTTTGAAAATATTGGAGGTATTACAAAAACTTAACATAAGTGGTTACACCAACACCAACGCTCAGGTGACAACAATAGCTCTACTTATATATTCTTATTGAATAGTCAACCTAAAAGGTGTTTCCTATAAAGCCCCACCAAACATAATATTATAATCATGCTTGCTTCATAGGAATATGTTGATTTCGTTTATACTGATCATATTCTAATAAGGTAATGGTCAATTATTCACATACAGAGCAAAAATTATCATTTTGAGTTTTAGACATTTACACACGTAAAAACCAACACAAAAGGGTATGATAGTAAAGTACCTACAGGTTAAGACTTGATAACATCAGAAATATCATCTCAAAATCAAAAGGGGTCATCCCATCCTGACAAACTCTTAAGTGTCAATCATGGTGACTCTTGACATTTGACCTACTGACCTCAAAATCAATTGGGGGGGTCATCTTCTTGTCATAACAAAGATGCATCCACATAAAATGTTTCTATAGTATTGAAGTTAGTGACCATAAACAAACTTAGCCAAAATAGTGATGCAGATACGTTTTAAAACCCTGAACAGGTGATGACAGTATCTTCGTTTTTGCCTCGAAAAAGTGGTGCTTAAAATAAACCATACGTCTGTATTTACCTTTTTCTTCCTTTTATAGTCTGTGAATATTGTAAGCATTCTCTCTGAAAAGAAAAAGAAATAGATTCCTAGAAGGCCACATAGACCTTTATAAATTGGTCCTGTATCATGAGAGTGACCTCCACCATTTGTGTGATCATGTCCATTGTGTCCACCAGCCATTGCCTGAAATAATCAAATTATAAAGCTATTATCATATATTATAAAATTATCATCATTTTCATAAAATCTTGGTGACAAAAACTAATGCTAAAATATCCTAAATAGAAAACTATTATGCACTGCTATAAAAATTCATTTTCACAGCTGTATTGAAGTACATACAGCAATAAACGGTACTTGCGGCCGAGTTTTTATCCATGCCAATAAAAACGAAAATTGAAAATGCGTGATCTATTTACCGATAGCCGATATTTTGGAGTTTGTTATAAAAGTGTAATTTTCTGTATTTTTAACTAAATTGGGACTAAGAAATGAGTTCCTTATAAGCGATTATTCCTTATAACCGTGTTCGCTATAACCATATATATTTATATTAAATAAAGAAGGGCAAAAATTCAGGCCAAAAGAAATTGTCCTTTATAACCGGAAATTCGCTATAACTGTGTTCCCTATAAGTGAAGTTTACTGAATATGTTTAGTCTTGGTGTGACCTCATACTTTCTAGCTCATCACAAATTGTCAAATTCCGTACACATTAAATTAATGCAAGTAATTTTTCAAAATCTGTGATTAAATGACAAGGATATTGACTGGACATGACTATCAATACAATGTGATATGACATTTAGCATCTAAGTATATGAGCTTGACCTTTGGGCTCCTGAACTAAATTTTGCTCACTACAAAAAAATTAATATCTCCATTTAACAAGTTTATTTTAGAAATTTTGACAGAAGTTTTAATTGTTATTTTCAACATACATGTGGAAACAGATGAAGGAGTGCATCTCCCGACATGGCTCCAACAGCTAGGGCAACAAGGAACTGCAACATGTGGTTGTAGAATACTTTCTGCATTATAGGTATAACAGCCACACCAAGCAACCCGACAAGGGAGATAACAATTACTGCTATTGAACTATATCCCCATACTGAAAATAAAACAAGATTGCATTTGTGACAAAAAATGCTATGCCACCACATCAATATAAACAGAGGTAGGTTTTTGTTTTTGTTTCTATACAACTGAACTTTGCCATATTATGCAGTTCAACGAGGCCATCTTAAAAAAAAATGTTTGTTTGCAGTAACGCGACCGACTCAAAATTTGCTCCTACTCAAAATTTTTTTTCATGGTCTGGATAAAAAAAAATTTTTAATCAGAAAATTATGCCTTGTGCTTTGTTTTCCTTCTTTTAAAGGTTAATAGAAGAAATTAAATGTAGGTCTTGTTAAATTAGAATTCAGTTATCAATTTATTAATTGTTACCAGATTATGAAAGCATATATTGTCCAGCATTTTGAAATTCCATGTTTATTTGGCAGTACAGTTCAATAAAAAACTAGAAATGTGTCATCATGCCACGGATGCCCCCGCATGCAGCCAAAATTTCAGATGTTACAATATTTAGTTCCAAATTTGTTTGTACACATTATTTTTTTCATTTTAAGTTCAAAGCCCTTAAAACTTTTCAATATTAACACAAACCATTTTCATACAATGTTCAAGGCACTGAAATTATTCAGTCTTAACCTTTTGAAAATAGCATATTTCATAATGGCTACATACATTTCCACAAAAGTATGAGTGCTGAAACTGAAAGTTCAAAATTTTTCCAACATTCAAGAAAGATAAGTTTGTCCAAAATCATTGAACCACGACCAAATTCAAACTTAAACTGCTTATTCCTAAGATGTATCTTTATTATTTTCAAAGTGAAAGGGACATAACTCTGCCCAAAAAAATCATCAAACCCTGACCAAATTCCAACTTGACCTGCCCATTCCTTTGACATATCCATATGTCAAATTTGAGTTGAATATGTAACACTGTTGGGTAGATAATGAACAGAAACTGTAAATTTTATATTATTTTCAAAGTGAAAGGGGCATCACTCTGCCAAAAATCATTGAACCATGACCAAATTCGAACTTGGCCTGGGCATTCCAAAAACATATACATATGTCAAATTTGAGTTGAATGTGTTGTACCGTTGGGGAGATAATAAACAGAAACTGAAAATTTCATATTATTTTTCAAAGTGAAAGGAGCATAACTCTGCCAAAAATCATTAAACCATGACCAAATTTGAACTTGACCTGCGCATTCCTTTGACGTATCCATATGTCAAGTTTGAGTTGAATGTGTTGTACCGTTGGGGAGATAATGAACGGAAACTGAAAATTTCATATTATTTTAAAGTAAAAGGGGCATAACTCTGCCAAAAATCATCGAACCATGACCAAATTCGAACTTGACCTGTATTTTCTCATGACATATCCATATGTCAAATTTGAGTTGAATGTGTGCAACCGTTACTAAGATAATGAACGGAAACTGATGATGACGGAATGACAGAATGACGGAACAGGGTAACACTATATGCCCCGGCCATTACATGGCAGGGGCATAAAAAAAAGCGACCTATTAAAGCCTAAACTAGGTTTTCAAATTTGAAGAATAACATCATAAGATCCAAACCTTTTTTTAAAACTCTGTAACAGTTATCAGAAGAAGAATAAGAATAATATTTTGTATAATAATTTGTATCATGTTAAAAAGATGATTACACATAATTAAATATGTTATATCTTATGTCATTAGATTAGTCATTCTTTTATTTCTTAATTTTATAAGTAAAACAATAGCATACCTTTTAAAGGAACATTAGATATATCTACAGTAGCACTTTCTGTACCAGTTGTGTGAGTATGCTCATGATCATTGTGATCATGGAAACTATTATGATCGCCATGGAATCCTTTATGTTTATCATGGAAACTATGACAAGAACCTTCATCTATCTGATACAGAATACTTGGACAAAGTTCCTTAAACACATCTTTAGTTATTACTCCACCTTTGTCACTATCTACTAACTGCAAGAAGTCGTGTGCAGACAGACACTGAAATAAGGTAAAAAAAAACACCAAATATTTGAAAAACATAATAATAATTTAAGAAAAAAAGAAAAATGGTAATGCCAAGAAACCAGGTTTTCAAATATCACCATTGTTACTTAAGAAATAATTCAGTATTTTGTTCTAACAGCAGATGGAAAAATTAAAATTATCTTGACATTGGTACTAGGATATCAGTAATAGTATTTCATTCCTAAATCAAGTTATTGACCGGAAACTGATTTTCTATTTTTAGTAACAGTAAGGTTGACCCTTAAGGGGATCCAAAAGTGAGGTCTTGACTCTTCACATAAGCTTAATTTAAAGTAAAGTTCATTAAAAAATCTAATGCCAAACTCTAGTAATTGATCACAAATCAATATTAAACCAGGGCTATTATTTGAACAAATTTGGTAGACACCAATAGGAAGATGTTTCATGTTAAATATCGAGGCTGTAACTCTTTGGGGTTTTTATAAGAAGATTTTTTAAGTTTAGACTATATACATATGCGCATCTCATCTTGGTATTGAAGATTCCCATAAAGTTTCGTTGAATTCCAGCCAGTAGTTGCAGAGAACTACTCCAGAAACGATTTTTACTCTTATGATATACATACTACATAACTAATCAAGGGCCATAACTCTGAGTTAAAGGGTCGGACCGGAACAAGCCGACGATGTGCGCATCTCCTCTTGATATTGATGATTCCCATAAAGTTTCGTTGAATTCTAGCCAGTAGTTGCAGAGAACTACTCCGGAAACGATTTTTACTCTATATACATACTACATAACTAATCAAGGGCCATAACTCTGAGTTAAAGGGTCGGACCAGAACATTTAGCCAACGATATGCGCATCTCCTCTTGATATTGATGATTCCCATAAAGTTTCGTTGAATTCCAGCCAGTAGTTGCAGAGAACAACTCCGGAAACGAAATTCGGACGGATGGACAACGCCAAAACTATATCCCCCCCCCCCCGATTCCATCGGCGGGGGATAAAAACAATGACCTCCCCTAGACTAGATGATGTATCATGCCAAATATTTATGCTCTAGCCCTTTCAGTTTTCTTAAAGAAGATATTTTAAGTTCTGCTTGGAATTAAATTCTTTGAACAATCTTAAGTTGACTACCAAAGAAACTTTCCTGTGAAGTTTGGATGAAATTGGCTGAGGGGTTTATTATTCTAGTTCCCGGCATCTAACAAGTATTGCGTAGCGAAAGGGGAAGGAACTCCAGACTATGGAATGAAGAGTTTTTAACACTTGACCTCTAAGTGTGACCTTGATCTTGGGGGTAGCAACCCAATTATTGCTATCTGCACATCATCTCGTTATGGTGATTACTTGTGCCAATTTATTTCAATTTTTTTGCAGTGCTTTAAATGTTATTGAGCAGACACAAAAGTGTTATGGACGGATGGAGGGACAAGGTGGCGACTATATGCTCTCCCTTCGGGAGCATAAAAAACAAATTTGAAGTTATAATACATTAACGTTAAAATAATGGAAAGATAGTTAACTAAATTATTTATATTTGAAAGTCGAATAGCCTATTGTTTACACTACATGTAAATTTGTAAAATAACAAGATGTTTATACTTCTGAAGAATCTGTTTCTCTCTTTTGAACACTATGGTTGTGATCATGTTTGCTAGTATCATTTAGATCATCGCTGTGGTCATGATCATCGCTGTGGTTATGATCATGTGAGTGGTCATGATCATCGCTGTGGTCATGATCATGTGAGTGGTCATGATCACCTGAGTGGTCATGATCATTGCTGTGGTCATGATCATGTGAGTGGTCATGATCATCGCTGTGGTCATGATCATGTGAGTGGTCATGTTCATCGCTGTGGTCATGATCATGTGAGTGGTCATGTTCATCGCTGTGGTCATGATCATCTGAGTGGTCATGATCATGTAAGTGGTCATGATCATGTGAGTGGTCATGATCATTGCTGTGGTCATGATCATGTGAGTGATCATGTTCATTGCTGTGGTCATGATCATGTGAGTGGTCATGTTCATCGCTGTGGTCATGATCATGTGAGTGGTCATGATCATCGCTGTGGTTATGATCACCTGAGTGGTCATGTTCATTGCTGTGGTCATGATCATGTGAGTGGTCATGTTCATCGCTGTGGTCATGATCATGTGAGTGGTCATGATCATCGCTGTGGTTATGATCACCTGAGTGGTCATGTTTCATCGCTGTGGTCATGATCATGTGAGTGGTCATGATCATTGCTGTGGTCATGATCATGTGAGTGGTCATGATCATTGCTGTGGTCATGATCACCTGAGTGGTCATGTTCATCGCTGTGGTTATGATCATGTGAGTGGTCATGATCATTGCTGTGGTCATGATCATGTGAGTGGTCATGTTTCATCGCTGTGGTCATGATCATCGCTGTGGTCATGGATCATGCGAGTGTCATGTTCATCGCTGTGGTCATGATCATGTGAGTGTCATGTTTCATCGCGCTGTGGTCATGATCATCGCTGTGGTCATGATCATGTGAGTGGTCATGTTCATCGCTGTGGTCATGATCATTGCTGTGGTCATGTTCATCGCTGTGGTCATGATCATGCGAGTGGTCATGTTCATTCGCTGTGGTCATGATCATGTGAGTGGTCATGTTCATCGCTGTGGTCATGATCATTGCTGTGGTCATGTTCATCGCTGTGGTCATGATCATGTGAGTGGTCATGTTCATCGCTGTGGTCCATGATCATCGCTGTGGTCATGATCATGCGAGTGGTCATGTTCATCGCTGTGGTCATGATCATGTGAGTGGTCATGATCATCGCTGTGGTCATGTTCATTGCTGTGGTTATGATCACCTGTGTGGTCATGATCATATGAGTGGTCATGATCATTTGCTGTGGTTATGATCACCTGAAGTGGTCATGTTCATCGCTGTGGTCATGATCATGCGAGTGGTCATGTTCATCGCTGTGGTCATGATCATGTGAGTGGTCATGTTCATCGCTGTGGTCATGATCATGTGAGTGGTCATGATCATCGCTGTGGTCATGATCATGTGAGTGGTCATGATCATTGCTGTGGTCATGATCATCTGAGTGGTCATGTTCTTCTATGTGGTCATGTTCTTCTGTGTGGTCATGACCATCTGTGTGGTCATGTACTTCTGTGTGGTCATGTTCATCTATGTGGTCATGATCATGTGAGTGGTCAAGATCATCGCTATGGTCATGTTCTACTGTGTTGTTATGATCATGTGAGTGGTAATGTTCATCTGAGTGGTCATGTTCATCGAGACCAAGACCAAGGTTGTGTAACATGTGTTCAAATCCCTCAAAAGTTATCTCTCCTCCATTTCCATATTTTGTCATCAATTTCATCAAAAAGAAGTCTTTCTCCATGAAATAAAATTCTTTTGAATCTTCAGTGGCATCAATGCTTTCTGTAAGTTTAGATATCTGAGCACTTATGTTTGGTGTATCAGCTTTTGCCTGCCAACCATAATACAGTAAGCACATCAGGCAAACACATGGACCACTTGAAGCACACATTGTGTAAATCTAAAAAAAAAGCATCTACGATAGTTATTTTTGTATGAATAAACATGTATTTCCTAACAACTCTGTGATTTTTTAACCTCTGCGTCCAGAACGCAATGAATTTACTGTGGACGCAAAGTTTTAAATAATATGCATCTTTTGGACGCATATTTTTCTGAGCAGGGTCAGTCCTGTCTGACAGGTATATGATAAAATCAAGTTATGTCAATCTGATGGCAGTAAAGTTTAATGTTTTTGCAAATATTTTACATTGTTTTACCAGTAAGGCTTACCATATACGGTACATGTAAATTAATAGTAAACATTTTATAATTAGTGTTGCGCTTGTTTGGAATGTCAACTTAAGTGGAATATATTCTAGTTATTTGACTAGTTCTATGACAAATTTCCAATATTGTTCTAATTTTTTTTAAAAAGACATTTAAATACGTTAAGACTCGGAGAAAAATTTACTTTTAAATTATCAATAATGCCATTACGATAATAGCACAGCCAGAGATTTCCTTTACAACTTCCCAGTTTATAGGGCATGCATATTCCTGTACGAAATTTTCTGCACGGAAATGGGGCGGAATTCAAAGGCAGATTCCGCCCAGAAATTTAAATTCTCCCCCGAATATACAAGTGTTAAACCATTTGCTTTTGGCACGGATTCCAGCCGGATTCCAGGCGGAAACGGGACGGATTCTGGGCGGAATTGGGACGAAATATGCAAATGAGTTGGGGCGGAATTTTGAAGCGGAATTTTGGGGCGGAATTTTGAAGCGGAATCTTGGGGCGGAACCTTGGGGCGGAATTTCGGAGCGGAATTGTCGAACAAGATTCTGGGCGGAATTCTGGGACAGAATTCAGGGGGCGGAATTTTATAAGTTTAACATGATCACATATTTTGGATAAAATTATCAATAATGTATCACATTAAATTTTTCTTTCACAAAATTTAATTTAAAAAATATCATATCCTTTAGTCCAAATACAGAATAGAATACCCTAACATTCACTATAACACAAACAGTCTTTTTCTAGCTGCAGGTTTTGGAATCTTAGAATCCAACACTTTGTTTTTTTGCAATTATTTTGCTGGAAGGTTTCAATCATAAATTTGTTTCAAATGTTTCTGATTATTTAAATTACTATTTCTTTAATCCATGTCTGTTTTAAGTCCACTGCCTGTGTTTCCTAGAACTTCTTGTGGTTGTGCTCACCTTTAATAATAAAATTCATAATTAATTAAACAAAAATTTTGTAATGAATTATGTTTTATTGCATAATCATATATATGCAGTTATATTTTATATTTTTTAATAATATCAAATTTTATGTTTCAACAGTATTAAATATTAACTATGCTTATATGGCATATTCAAAAATACTAAAGCAACACAGAATCAGTTATTCAAGTGTACAGGTGTTTAAGAATTGCTCTGTATAAGAATTAACTGACTGCTTTATTTGTGACACTATTTATTACTGGTTATGTATTTTTCAAGGAAAGATGTTGAATAGTTAAGTATAGAGATTTAAAAATATACCTTTTCAGAATTAATACTGCATATCATTATTAAACACCTGGCGTCTCACAGTCAGCACTTAAGTCCCTGAGCAGCCTGCAAATATGAGTGTAAAATGTAATTTTAGATTGTTCCATTGGAAACACAACACAAACATGTAAAATAATAAATGATTATGATGACCCTGCTCAACTGTACAAAACTACTGATTGTACCATTTAGTCCTATTTAATCAAATTTATTTAATTTGTTTAATTTCCAGGAAATTAAAAAGATATACTTACATGCTATTTATACAATATACACAATCATTATATTAACAAAAAATCATTGAATAATTTTTATCTTGCAAATAATACATGTATTAAAGATTTAAAACAATTATCAGAAAAAAAACAAATGTAAGAAGTTTTTGAAAATATTAAAACAACAATTTACCTCTAATGTTACAAATTTTAGTTGGCTATTTAGTATTTGATAGTTTTCATATAAAATTAATGTAACTAAAGGTTTATAATTACCTGATTATGTTATAATCTCCTGGTCCCATGTTATCATACCAATTACTTTAACACTTTGAGATCTTAAAAAAACTTTTATTCCAAAATTGTTAAAATATCAAGTACATGATTCTCTGTAATTTGCACTCTTTTTTTGCTGACCCAGATATCTTAGAATTCAAAATTCACAACAGTTTACTGTTAATTTGACCGGTCCATCATTATGTAAAACAAAAAAAAAAAAAAAAAACCCAAAAAAAAAAACAAGGTTAATTTACTCATCATCTTAACTTTCATTCATTGAATGTAAAAGAAAAATCAATAACAAATAGATATTTATAGATTTTAAAAAAACAATTACAAATTTTTGTTTACAAAAACATTGCAATATGTCTAGACAAATTCTACATATGCAATTTAATAATGTTATCTCTCCCCAAAATAATTACATGGAACAGCCTGATCTGTAGGAATGACCAGTCATGTGTAGATAATGGGAAACTGCTGGTCAGTAGAGTTTTATCAGAGCTTTCTGATTTGTTAGTGTAAAATCTCAGCGAATATACATTGTAGTATTTATTTACCTATGGTAAATAAAAGCAATTATGGGCATTACTGGTTGATCAATTTATATAGATTAAAGGGGCATAATATATGAGATTATTTCATGCACTTTTTGTTTTTGTTTAATTTTTTTTAAAACAAATCATGAATTCTTTAGAATTTAAAATGGCAAGCACACTTATAATCTTGTCCCTATGTGACTGTCCTATATTCTATTAGTATATTCAAATTTAAAAAGCAATGGCTTATTTTAATGTTGCTTTCAGATGAATGTCCTAAAAATCATATTTAAAAATTCATAATACAGTAATGTATTATAATTACAAGCTGTATGAAAAATCTTATATTATAAACTTAAGCATTTTGGAGGTGAATGATTTTTCAAGTTCTACACTAAGATTATTATCAGTTGTTTTTCAGTACAAAAAATATAAATTAGTCTGACAATGTATCATTTAATGCCACTTTTTTTATTTAAAAAGAAGGCCTATTTCAATGTCTAAAAAAAAAATATATTAATTCTAAAAATACACCTGTAATTATTGGTTCAGCAAAAAAAAAATAAGTACAGTAGGTAAAATTTCAATGTCTGCAAGTGCAAAAACAAGAGTACAATTATGATTTGGACATCTTATATGTGAAATTCTGTTCAAGAAAAATGTTTAAGTATAAATTCCGCTCAAAATCAAATTCCAGCCGGAATTTTTCTAGTTTTCCGCCCAGAAAAGTGAACAAAATATTTTTCTTGTGAGACAGAATGGCACGGATTTTGCGTTTCCGTCCCTGGTCCGCCCAGAAATCACTGATTCCGTGCCAATTCCGTGCCAATTCCGCCCAGAATCCGTGCCAAAATTTCGTACAGGTTGTTGCCATTTAGAGAATTTACTCTATTAAAATGCACTTTAAAAAATCAGCGAATTCAATTGAGCTATTATTAGATTAGTTCAACTTTCGGTTTGAATATATCACCGATAAGTGCATCATTACATAAACAAATTAAAAAAAAACAAAACAGTATAACGATGTAACAACAAATTGATAGTTCTGAATCATGGTACAAAAAATAATGAGGATTACAGGCTTAATTGGTCAGGAATGCAAATTTTTACTGGAAAAAAATGTGAACATTATGACCTTCCAATATTCGGTAAATAAGGAAGAACATCGATAATATTTGTTGACTAACTTAGGTAAGCATTTCATATTCTAGGTCTGCAAATTTTGAATGATGTGCTTTACTCAGTTATCGCTAATAAGCATAAAAAAATAAGGAATATGATGTTTTGATTAAAATCAAACTAAAATTAAATAATAGAATAGAAACAAACTTGTAAATTGACAGTTTTATCAGAAGCATTGTAATTATTATAGACATCAAATTCATTTTTCTCCATTCCATTGTTAATATCCTTTCATATCACTAACATGGCAATGATAAGCCATGTAACTTGGACTTGTCGGTTAAATTTTGGGACTCATAGATTTATAGCCCAGCGAGTCCTAGGACCCACATTGATGAATTTTTAAAAATATCACTGACAACTCCTACAATGAGATCTATATGATCTAAAAAGTTTTGTGGTGATATCTCTTACAGTTTTAGATTATGGCCCGGGTAAAATTCAAAGTGTAAAAATGAACAAAGGGCAATAACGCAAAATTATGCAAGGCTGTGTTAAGGTTCTTTAACATTGCAGTTCTATTAAACAAGATCTATCTACATACAAAGTTTCATGTTGATATCTCCAATAGTTTTAGAGTTACACAAATGTATGTCCAGGACAAAAGTCAAAAAGTAATAATAAACAAAGGGCAAAAACTTCAAAATAAGGCAAGGCAGAGTTATTGTTCTTAAGCACTGCACTTCTACCTAATGAGACCTATCTACCGGAACATACAAAGTTTCATGTTGATATCTCTTATATTTTTACTAGGGCTGGGAACGAATAAGGAATTCGATGTTCGAATATTCGTTTTCCATATTCGAATATATTCGAATATTCGTTTTTACAACATTTGTTCCAATATTTCTCTTTGACGTATACGTATCCGAAATTGATTGCGTCGAATACTATACTACTTTAAATGCTTGGAATAATCGGCGATTAAAAAGACCTTTATTGCTATGTCGAAGTTTTTATAATTTTATATATTGTAAATCGAGATATATGTTTACTTTTGAAATAAATTCATAATTTGATTGCCATTTGTTCAGTAAACCCGACCGCTGTCTTATTAACGGGAGGTAACTCACGTGACTTGACTGACAGTAATATGAATCATCGTAGCCATTTATCCCCAAAGACACATAATGATATTGAAACTTAACTTGTATTAAATATTTTTTATTTATAATTTTAGATAAAGTTTAAAATATTCTTAAGATAAGTTTAGCTATAACGAGGTAAATATCACA